TGTTTTTGTTTTTGATGTTTGTTTTGCTTTTGTTTTTGTTTTTCTTAATCTGAGCTGGGAGAGTAGCTATGCTTTAATTTCCACGCAGGTGGAATTTCAGTTTTCTTTATCAAAGCATTTCTTCTATTGCAAAAGAAAGATCTTAACTGGTGTTATTTTTGACCAGATGCGCCTTAGACGCATTCTGATTGGTATTTATCCATGACAGTTTGGGATGCCATCAATATTACAGGCACTGTGTGAAGCAGAGAACCCAGACAAATCTTGACACATAGATGAGAAAGCATTTCATTTCCAATGTAACTTCGTCCAGGGCTATGTTGTCTCTCCATTGAATAATAAACCAAGAGCATTGTCCTGTGGGCCATTCTACAGATATTTTCCAGTTTAATATTTTATCTGCTCTCTGGAAAGGCCTATCTACTTTGGATGTTTCTGTCTAGTTGCTTCTAGCAGTAGAGGCTTACATTATTCATTTTCCATACAAAAGTAATTATATAGTGTTAGAATTTCTGGAAGGAAAACCACATGCTGTGGAACATTCTTTGATATCTTTTTACTACAAGCTCAGATTTCTGTAGTTGTTTTACTTTTTTTTTCTTTCTTTATCCTATTGGCACTAGGTGACTTCTTTAACCCTAGATATGTGAACTGGAATCTTCACTGGATCTTGTAAAAATTACTTGAATGTCACCTCTGAATATTTTAACTAGAAACCAGGCATTTGGGTGGTCAAGAGAATGGCGAACTTCTTTCTAAAATTGCAGGGTATTATAATTTTTGTGACAATGGTACTTCAGTTAATGAAGAGCAACCCAGAAAGAATACTGGGAAAGTGGCATTTTAGATAAGAATATGTTCATATTTTATTTTTGTGCTTGCACAAAGAGCTGCACATGTTCCATTTGCAAGACAATAACAGGGCAAAAAAGGCTGTAACTGGAAGCAGAAAAGGGATAAAAATGCTTTTGGCATGTTATTAGTGGTGGGCATTTGCCTACATTTAGGACACATGGTTCAAACTATAAAGACAGCAAGTCTCAGAACAGAGAGCTAAGGGTAGTCAAATTAACTCTCAGGATGTACACTATTTCAGACCAAGAGAGACACTGTCATTTTGCTTACACATACAGAGAGAGAGAGAGAGAGAGAGAGAGAGAGAGAGAGAGAGAG